TGTGTCTCACATTAGCTAGATAAGGGGTATGTTATGGGTATACAAGTGAGGCAGAATGTCTCTATTGATTTGAGGCATTTTGGGTGATTCCAAAAGTCAAACCATGAGATCTTATGGTCAAGTGAACAGTATCATACCAATTAGAGTCGTGTCTCACATTAGTTAGATAAAGGGGAGGTTATGGGTATGTAAGTGAGACACAACATCTCTATTGATTTGAAGCTTTTTGGGTGATACCAAAAGTCAAACCATGAGGGCTTATGCCCAAAGTGGAAAGTATCACACCAATTAGAGATGTTTCTCACATGAGAAGGGGAAGGTTATGGGTATCACAAGTGAGAGACATCTCTATTGATTTGAAGCTTTTTGGGTGATACCAAAAAACAATACCATGAGGGCTTATGTCCAAAGTAGACAATATCATACCAATTAAAGATGTGGAGGGTGGTTCCTTGTCCTAAATAAGTGGTATCATAAATTTGTTCCTAACATAGAGATGTGCCAGGGGTTTTGGGTTATATGTGTATAGATGTGAGGGGACATCTCAATTGATTTGAGCCATTTTGGGTGATACCAAAAGTCAAACCATGAGGGATAGTGCCCAAAGTTGACAATATCATAACAATTAGATATGTGTCTCACAATAGATAGATAAGAGGAAGTTTATGGATTTACAAGTGAGGGACAACATCTTTATTGATTGTTGAGGCATTTTGGGTGATACCAAAAGTCAGACCATTTGAGTTTATGCCCAGAATAGACAATATCATTCTAATTAGAGGCGTGTCTCACATTAGCTAGATAAAGGGAAGGTTATAGGCATACATGTGAAGGACAACATCTCTATTGATTTGAGGCCTATTGGGTAATACCAAAAGTCAAACCACGAGTGTTTATGCCCAAGTAGAGATGTGTCTCACATTAGCTAGATAAGGGGAATGTTATTGGTATACAAGTGAGGCACAACGTCTCTATTAATTTGAGGCCTTTTGGGTGATTCCAAAAGTCCAATTATGAGATCTTATGCCCAAATGGACAATATCATACCAATTAGAGACGTGTCTTACATTAGTTAGATAAAGGGTAGGTTAAGGGTATTCAAGTGAGGGGCAACATCTCTATTGATTTGAAACTTTTTGGGTGATACCAAAAGTCAAACCATGTGGGCTTATGCCCAAAGTGGAAAATATCACACCAATTAGAGATGTTTTTCACATGAGAAGGGGAAGGTTATGGGTATCACAAGTGAGGGACAACATCTCTATTGATTTGAGGCTTTTTGGGTGATACCAACAACCATATCATACCAATTAGAGATGTGGAGGGTGGTTCCTTGTCCTAAATAAGTGGTATCATAGCTTTGTTCCTAACTTAGCTACTTGAGTAGCATACTCAGGTGCCGAAAAAAGTGGCGAGCGTCAGGGGTTTTGGGTTGTATGAGTATAGATGTGAGGGGACAACATCTCTATTGATTTGAGACATTTTGGCTAATACCAAAAGTCAAACCATGAGGGCTTATGTCCAAAGTGGACAATATCATAACAATTAGAGATGTTTCTCACAATAGATAGATAAGGGAAAGTTTATGGATTTACAAGTGAGGAACATTATCTGTATTGATTGTTGACGCATTATTGGTGATACCAAAAGTTAGACCATTCGGGTTTATGTCCAAAGTGGACAATATCATTCCAATTAGAGGTGTGTCTCACATTAGCTAGATAAGGGGAAGGTTGTGGGTATACATGTGAAGGACAACATCTGAGGCCTATTGGGTAATACCAAGAGTCAAACCACGAGAGCTTATGCCCAAGTGGGCAATATCATACCAATTAGAGACGTGTCTCACATTAGTTAGATAAGGGGAATGTTATTGGTATACAAACGAGGCACAGCGTCTCTATTGATTTGAGGCCTTTTGGGTGATTCCAAAAGTCCAATTATGAGATCTTATGCCCAAGTAGACAATATCATACCAATCAGAGACGTGTCTCACATTAGTTAGATAAAAGGGAAGTTATGGGTATGCAAGTGAGGGACAACATCTCTATTGATTTGAAGCTTTTTGGGTGATACCAAAAGTCAAACCACGAGGACTTATGTCCAAAGTGGAAAATATCACACCAATTAGAGATGTTTCTCACATGTGAAGGGGAAGATTATGGGTATCACAAGTGAGGGACAACATCTATATTGATTTGAGGCTTTTTGGGTGATACCAAAAACAATACCGTGGGGCTTATGTCCAAAATGCACAATATCATACTAATTAGAGATGTGGAGGGTGGTTCCTTGTCCTAAATAAGTGGTATCATAAATTTGTTCCTAACTTAGAGATGTGTCACGGGTTTTGGGTTACATGAGTATAGATGTGAGAAGACAACATCTCTATTGATTTGAGGCATTTTGGGTGATACCAAAAGTCAAACCATGAGGGCTTATGCCCAAAGTGGACAATATCATAACAATTAGAGATGTCTCACATTAGATAGATAAGAGGAAGTTTATTGGTATACAAGTGAGGGAGAACATTTCTATTAATTGTTGAGGCATTTTGGGTGATACCAACAGTCAGACCATGCGGGCTTATGCCCATAGTGGACAATATCATTCCAATTAGAGGAGTGTCTCACGTTAGCTAGATAAGGGGAATGTTATGGGTATACATGCGAAGGACAACATCTCTATTGATTTGAGGCATATTGGGTAATACCAAAAGTCAAACCATGAGAGCTTATGCCTAAGTGGACAATATCATACAAATTAGAGATGACCTTATCTAGATAAGGGGAATGTTATGGGTATAGAAGTGAGGCATAACGTCTCTATTGATTTGAGGCCTTTTGGGTGATTCCAAAAGTCAAACCGTGTGATCTTATGCCCAAGTGGACAATATCATACCAATTAGAGACGTGTCTCACATTAGTTAGATAAAGGGGAGGTTATGGGTATGCAAGTGAGAGACAACATCTCTATTGATTTGAAGCTTTTTGGGTGGTACCAAAAGTCAAACCATGAGGGCTTATGGCCAAAGTGGAAAATATCACACCAATTAGAGATGTTTCTCACATGTGAAGGGGAAGGTTATGGGTATCACAAGTGAGAGACAACATCTCTATTGATTTGAGGCTTTTTGGTGATACCAAAAACAATACCATGTGGCTTATGTCCAAAGTGGACAATATCATACTAATTAGAGATGTGGAGGGTGGTTCCTTGTCCTAAATAAGTGGTATCATAGCTTTGTCCTACCTGAGTAGCATACTCAGGTGCTGAAAAAAGTGGCGAGCATCAGGGGTTTATATGAGTATAGATGTGAGTGGACAACATCTCTATTGATTTGAGACATTTTGGGTGATACCAAAAGTTAAACCATGAGGACTTATGCCCAAAGTGGGCAATATCATTACAATTAGTGATGTGTCTCACATTAGATAGATAAGAGGAATTTTATGAGTATATAAGTGAGGGACAACATCTCTATTGATTGTTGAGGCATTTTAGGTAATACGAAAAGTCAAACCATGAACAATATCAAACCAATTAGAGATGTGTCTTACATTAGCTAGACAAGGGGAATGTTACGGGTATACAAGTGAGACACAACGTCTATTGATTTGAGGCCTTTTCGGTGATGCCAAATGTCAAACCATGAGATCTTATGCCCAAGTGGACAATATCATACCAATTAGAGATGTTTCTCACATTAGCTAGATAAGGGGAAGATTATGGGTATCACAAGTGAGGGACAGCATCTCTATTGATTTGAGGTATTTTGGGTGATACCAAAAGTCAAACCATGAGGGCTTAGGCCCAAAGTGGACAATATCATACCAATTAGAGAGGTGGAGGGTGGTTCCTTATCTAAATAAGTGGTATCATAGCTTTGATCCTAACTGAGGTCTTAACTACCTGAGTATGCTACTCAGGTGCCGAAAAAAGTGGGAGCTTCATGGTTTTTGGGTTATATGGGTATAGATGTGACGGGACAAAATCTCTATTGATTTGAAGCTTTTTGGGTGATATCAAATTTCAAACCCTGAGGGCTTTTGTCCAAAGTGTACGAATCATACTAATTTGAGATGTGTCTCACATTAGCTAGGCAAGGGGATGCTTCCATTCAAGTGAGGGACAACATTTCTATTGATTTGAGGCCTGTTAGTTAATATCAAAAGTCAAACCATGAGTGCTTATGTCCAAGTGGATAATATCATTCCAATTAGAGACGTGTCTCACATTAGCTAGATAAGGGGAATGTTATGGGTATACAAGTGAGGCACAATATCTCTACTGATTTGAGGTCTTTTGGGTGATGCCAAAAGTTAAACCATGAGATCTTATGCCCAAGTGGACAATATCATACCAATTATAGATGTGTCTCACATTAGTTAGATAAAGGGAAGGTTATGGATATGCAAGTGAGGGACAACAATTCTATTGATTTGAAGCTTTTTGGGTGATACCAAAAGTCAAACCACGAAGGCTTATGCCAAAAGTTGACAATATCCGACCTATTAGAGACGTGTCTCACACGAGCTAGATAATGGGAAGGTTATGGGTGTCACAAGAGAGGGACAACATCTCTATTGATTTGAGGCCTTTTGGGTGATAACAAAAATAATATCACGAGGGTTTATGCTCAAAGTGGATAATATCATACCAATTAGTGATGTTTCTCACCTGAGATAGATAAGGGGAAGGTTATGGGTATCACAAGTGAGGAACAAAATCTCTATTTAAGGCCTTTTGGGTGATACCAAAAAGTATTCCATGAGGGCTTATGCCGAAAGTGGACAATATCATCATACCAATTAGAGATATGGAGGGTGATTCCAAAAGCAAAGTTATGAGGGTAATGTCCAAAGTGGATGTAGAGATATGCATAATGGTACCTTATTCTTTTTTTTTGTTTTTTTGGTTTTTTTGAGTATCTTTCTAATGCGTGTTCAATAACATATGTTAGACTTTTGTATTTTATATGAAGCCTCTGTATGTTATTCATGAAATGATGAATTTAAAAAGACTATATAATTCCATTACATTATTAGAAGCATGACATAGTAATACTATAACAATTTCTTTACCCTCCCCACTTTTTGCTTTTTTTCTTTTGTTAATCGTCTTTATAGATTTGCTACTCGGGTTTCTTTATAGATCTCAAATATTATGCAGTTCCCACGGTAAGTACAACTTTCTATCTTGATAATTTTGAAATGCTTTTAACCGAAGTCATAGGTATTCTGACCATGTATTTTTCTTTTTATTAGTTTTTTAAGTGAAAATTTGCTTATAAATATAGTTAATTAATGTTATTATTTTTAAATTTTGAATCATTTTTTTTTCTGAAAGAATTTATCTATTTTGAATCCATGTGTTTTTGTCTCAATTGGAATTAAAACTGTTATTATTTATTATTATTACTTCTTTTTTCTTCTTTGAAAAAAAAAAGAAACATTTTTATTTATTTGCAATCGAAATCACAAAATTGGAGGTATATTTTTTAGAATAAAAGCTTTAAAGAACAGTATGTGTTAAACTTGTAATATTGTTTGTTCTTTTGTATTTTAGTTGCCTTAGGTTTTAATTTTTATTCATTTCTAATGGATTATAATAAATTTATTTGAAATTTATACTATATTTTAATTAATAGAAAAGAACCAAAACGACAGTGTATGTATACTGTGATGAAGCTGTTACATATATTGACAACTGTGTATGTTTGATTAGGTTAACATAAAAACTCAGAATCGTGTGGACCAAGTCTGCATATAGTCCCAAATTTCGCCCGCAAGTTGACGATTCGAGACAAGTATGTTTCTTTGTGGCATAACATTTATTTTGTTTTCATACCAGCAAGAGGAAAAACCTATTAATTCTTTAGTTTGACAAAATTTATGACAAAATTCCAAAATTTTTTGAGGTTGCTCCTTGCGTGGTGAATCTCTCCTTGCTAATTCTTTAATTTCCTTTTCAATTATTGTTTGAAAATGAATTCATACTCTATTAATGTGTAAGGTCTTGAAACATAGGTCTTTTGAATATTTCAGGTTTAAAATGATTAATTAATTATATGATTTCCTTTGCAGTCTTGCTCGCAATGTTTATAATACATCATTCTTTTTTAGCTTGATTTGGTGAGTTGAAGGCGTACCAAACTGTTCTTGATACGAGCTTGCAACATAATACCTCTCAATTTCATGATGCTTCAAGGATTTGTGCTATATACAGCACAACAACGAAAAGGTGACATCTTGATTTCTTCCCTTTATATTTGGTGATTGCTTTTCATTTTTAAAGAAAATATTGTTCTGTGTGCTTAAGATTTGATACAACAAATTTACTCTCAACTTCAAATATTTCGTGTGGTCGTTCCTGCAGGTTTGGAGTGGTTAGGGAAAATCTTTTTAAAGACTTTATTGTTCTATAATTTGCTAAAAGAACTATGTCGAACGAGAACAATTGCAAACCGATATCAGGATTGAAGATGTCTACTTTCTGTGTGGTGTTGCAATTCGACACTACCACTCTCAATACAAAAAACAAGGTACGTTATGATAATACAATTTGTTTGTGCGCATGTGTTTAATTAATTGAATTCTGTTTGTTTGATTGCATTTAGTTTATAAATGAAAGCCCCTAAGGGGCGGTTTTGTTGGCAAGACTTGGGTCTCTTGGTCATACTGGCTTAGAGGCCTCAAGTTTGAACCTTTCAGCAAGCTTAATACCAAAAACCCTTAATCTCCCCGTCTAAGTCTTGGGGTGCGGCCTGGGTATAGGAGAGCAAAGCTTCGACTCCCAATCATAAAAAAAAAAAAGTTTATAAGTGAAACTTTAACTTTCAAGTGTCTTTGTCTATAGACGTTCTATTTAGTTTTGTTTCTCGATGCAAAAATTCTTCTTTGTTTTCATCGTTTTTTGAATCCTTGCATTGTGAGACTACAATATCAAGAACCTAACTAATTAACTATATTGCAATCTCAAATAGAAACTACAATATCAATAGCCTTTGGAGAGGGCTATCTCTCTCCTAAGAACTCTCTCAAGTTCCTCACCATATACTATTCTCCAAGATGATCCCCTTGTATCCCTACTATCTTTATTTATAACCAATTCACCCCTAACTAATTACCACGTCCTTCAAGACACCTTGTCCTCAAGGCATGGAACACCAAAAATATATATATTTTTTAACATCAACAAAATGTGAAATCTAGCCATATATTAAACCCTAGCTTAATCTTCTTCTTTGACGAGGTGGCGGCGGATGTGACAAACAGAGGACGAAGGTAGTGGTGGCTAGGGTTGGACAATGTGGCCAGATGGTGTCAATCCAATTTGATTTTTAGGTTTAAAACCTAAAGCAACCTGGTCGAAAACTCCTTGCCAGGTCCTCTTTGTCTTTAAGAAGAAGATGGGCCTCAACAATTGTATTAAAAATCAACCAACAAAGCTCACGACCCCACTTGCTTCTAGAGTCTTCCCCCTTCTGACCAATGACCACTCACGTGATTAGGGCTTTCCTTTTCTTTCTTTCTCACGTGACCTGCATCAAAGTACAGGGTGCGGTAATTCGATTGCTTAGGTCGGCAGCTTGACGCTCAAGCATTAAACTATCAGCACTGACAACTTTTCATTGATTGGATGTACCTCGAAGTAATTCAAGCGATTGCAATCAATCAATTGATCATCATGGACGTCCCTCAGAAGCAATTCAAGTGGTTGCAATCAATCACTTCTTGCATTAGTTACATCTCGTGATTTAAGCGTCGCGTCTCGTCAGTCCCTCAGTGAGGTATATGATGATCTTAGAAGTTTGCATCGCCTCAATATGTCGCTCATCTCGAAGTATTAGTTGCCTTGAAATAAAGGACAATGGTACATTGTCTCCAACCAGTGGTATCGGTGTCTTTCCCTAACTTATCAATGTAGATAGAATCTTGAGGTCGAATAGAGTGGCTAGCCTCGGGTAATTTGTGGTTGAGCTATTTGACAGATTAATTAAAGGGAGGCTTGGTGGTACTTTTGTTTCAAGGGAGGATTGTTGGGAACTCGGGATTGCGATCAAAGTCCCATGTGGGATAGATAAGGAAAGGCCATGGATGTATAAGTGCGAGACATCCATTTTGGGTGATATCAAAAGCAAAATCATGAGAGTTTATGCACAAAGTGGATAATATTATACCAATGTAGAGATGTGGAGGGTGATTCCTTGTCTTTTTAAAGTGGTATCAGTGTCTTGTCCCTAACATATCCATGTTGGTAGAATCCTAGTGCTGAACAAAGTGGCAAGCCTCAGGTAATCTATGGTGGAACTATCAGACATGTTGAAGTATGGATAATTAATTGAGGGAAGATTGGGTGGTACTTTGTTCGAGAGAAGATTGTTGGGAATGGAACCAAAGTCCCACTTGGCTAGAAAAGAAGAAGATCATGGGTATATAAGTGAGGGACAATATTTCTGTTGATATTGAGGTATTTTGAGTGAATACCAATAGTAAAACCTTGTGCCCAAAGTGGACAATATCATGCCAATATAGAGATGTGAAGGGTGGTCCCTTGTTCGTAACTTATCCATGCAAGTAGAATCCCTTAGTGTCGTACAAAGTGGTGAGCTTTAGAAAATCCATGGTTAAGCTACCGGAGATATGGTATGCTACGGTGAAGAGGATTTATGCCTGGTTAAAGATGATGTACTCAAAATAAGACATTGATGGATGACTATTTGAGGGGAGGTTCAGTGGTTACTTTGTTCGAGGGAATGCTTGTTGAGAATGAAACAAAGTTTCACGTTAACTAGAGAAGAGGAAGGTTATTGGTATACCAGTGAGGACAACATTTGTGTTGATATTGAGGCATTTTGGTGATACAAAAAATAAAACAGTTTGTGCTTAAACTGGACAATACTCAACTAAATGTAGAAACTAAATGTAGAGATGTGGAGGGTGGTCTCTCTCTTATTAACAATTGGTATTAGAGTTTTGTTCCAAACTTAGCCATGCAAGTAGAATCTCCTAGTGTCAAACAAAGTGGTGAGCCTTGGAATATTCGTTCTTTGAGCTATCACTGGAGCATACAAGTGGTATTAGAGTCTTATGCCTAACTCATCTATACGAGGTGGCGAGCCTCGAAAAATTTGTGGTTCGATAAGGGGAAGGTCAAACCCTAAAAATAGAAATATATATATATATATATATATATATATATATATATATATATATATATATTCTTTTCAACCAATAAACTGAATCAAAGTTTCGGTTTAAGAAAACACCAACCTAATTTAAACTGAAAATTTTATAACCCAACCTACGGTTTGGATTGGGTTGGGTTGCTTTAAATTGTTCAGGTTTAAACACACCTAGTTGACGAGTTCTCTTTAGATATGATTTTTTTTCTTTCACTTTTATACTTCATTTAATGTGATATCTTTTGTTAATAATTTTTTTTATTTTTAGTTTATTGTTATTATTATTGTTTATATTGATTATTGAGGTTTGAGACTGTCGTTTTTTTTTTTAATATTTTGTTGCGGCCCTATTCTTCTCTTTTACCTATTTTCAAGTGGTTATGAAGATGTCATACAAGGAATTTTGTTTTTTCCACTTTTATAATTCATTTAATATGTTCTCTCTATTCATTTTTGTTTTTGGTCTATTGTCATTATTATTTTTTATATTGATTAAGTGTAGTATTTTTTATTTTTATATATTCCAACGAGATTCTATGTGATATCTCTTGTTAAGAACTTTCTGTTTTTAGTTTATTGTTATTATTATTGTTTATATTAATTATTGAGGTTTGAAAGTGGCATTTTGTTTTCTTTTTGTAATATTCCAATGGGATTTTTTGTTATTACTTGGTTGCTGCTCTATTATTCTCTTTTACCTAATTTTCAATTGGTTATGAAGCAGTTACGCGAGGAACTTTTGTTTTCTTTTACTTTTACTTTTACTTTTACTTTATTTAATATGTGCTATCTCTTGTTAAAGAAACTTTATTTCTGTTTTTATTGATTATTGATGTTTGGAAGGGTTGTATTTTGTTGTTTTTTTATATATGTTTTTCAATGAGATTATGTGTTATTGCGTGGTTGCTATATTTTTCTCTTTTACCTAATTCTTCTGTTTTAATTTTTTATATTTATTTTATTGTCTGCTTGATATATAATTGTTTGGGTTTTAGTTTATGCTGTATTTTTGTTGCTTTTCTTTTTTACCTTCATTTCTTTGTTGTTTTAGCTTTTAAGTGTTCTTTCTCTGGTATGTCAAATTTTCAATTCTTTTTTCTTTGTTAACTTTTATGTGTTTTTTTTAATGTTTTAATGGCTTTTTTTTATGTGATTAGCTACCATTCAATAATTTATATTTCTTGTTTATTGCTATTTGTAATTTGTAATTTTTTTTGGGTAAATTACACAAATCATCCTTGAAACCCTTGAAGTTAAGTGTTACGATTAAACCTTTCAAGTAAAAATTAAATCTTCAAAATTTTCATAAAAGAAACAAACCCCTAAATTTCTAATAGTATAAATTAAACCCCAATGATAAAATTACATTGAAATTTTTAAAAATTGGATCGAAATTAATTACAATGGCAAAATTTTTCATCATCTTTGTTGAATTTGAATTTGAATTTTACTGGAAGTTAGTCATATGAGCCCAAAATTGTTGAATTTGACAACCCAATAGAGAATCGACCGGTTGACTAAACAAATTTTTTCTTCCATTTTACAAATTTCCATTTAACCTCACCATTCTTTCGGACAAGCCAAAATTCCAAACCATGTCTCTCTTCTCTTCTTCTCTGGTGGTGGCCCAAGGCCTGAAACTTCTTTGCCTTCTCCATTTTCTAATCCCATGGTGACCGGTTCTCCATTTGGTTCCTCAACATCTAAACCGACTGGTTCCTCAACATCTAAACCGACGACGTTGTTTGGTTTGGCAACTTGTGAATGATTAAGAGTTTAATTTTTGCTTTGGCAAGTTTAGGGGTACAGGGGTATAATGGTAACAATTATCAAATTCTATGGGTGATTTTGTTGGGATCTTCTATTTTATTCCTTCACCCTCTTTTTTCACCTCTATTTATTTTATTTAATAATTTATTCAATTTATTAACTACCATTCAATAATTTATACTTCTGGTTTTTTGCTATTCTTTTATTAATAAAATCTTACTTTTTTATTCCTTATATGTGCATATGATGTATGAAGTATATTGTTGTGAACTAACCATATAAAATGAGATGAAGCATAATGTCAATTATAAAATTTATGGTTTCTTTGTAGTCATTCATTCCTTTGCTAAATTATCTATGAATAAATTTTGATTTTCACTTTCTACAGCCCATTGTCTTTTTGGGCATAGGGTCTGTTTCTTTATTTTCTTTTTTACTTTTCGCTGCACATTTTTATAGTAATTGTATTGTCATGAAACGAAAATATATTCAAATATATACTGATTTATTCCTAAATACCCTTTTATATTATAGTTTCTATTCCTAAATACCTACTCTTTTATAAATTTTTATTCGATGTGTTTTGATACGTCTTCGATCTAATTTTTTTAGTACCACTAACCTATCATTTTTTTAGTGTATTGTTTAAGATAAAGTGTAGAAGTTCATTTATAATAAGGTTTGAAAGTTCAATTAGTTGTATGATTAGTATTTAATATTCTATATTTTTATTGTTCAAGTACTTTTTGTTTCATTTAGTAACCATATTTAAGGTTCTTTTTGTTCCATTTAATAACCATGTTTTATTCTTCCACTGTTTCATGTATGTTTGATCTATTTGAAATTATTTTTGTATTTAATTATTTTGTAATCATTCATTTTTGTTATATTTATTTTATACATGTTTTACTTTGATATTCTGTATTATAATTCGGCGTGTACTTTTTATGTAACTTGTATTTAACATGTTATATCTTTATTTGTATTATTGGCTGCAGGATGTAATATATAGTTTGTATATTTATGCCAAAATTAATTATTCTAATACTGCAACGAAATTTAGATGTCCAATAATAAAGAACATATTTTTTAACTTATTGCTTTTATAGCATATTTGTGAGTTTAGAAAATCCCAATGATTGCAAAGTACAGTACTATCGGGATTTAGAGCTTATTCTACTCTTAACTTTAAAGACTGAACTGTACTGGGCTTCCCTGCATTAAATAGGCTGGGCCCAAAAGTACATAATTGGCCCACCAGAATCACTAGCTAGACGGGGCGACACCTGGGCCTGTCCGTAACCAGCCCAACATATCTAAAGCCCACGGTCTTCACTCTCGAGATGGGCTCAATCAAAAGAGCCCAAATCCGGCCCACTCAGTATCACTCGTTGGGCGGGGCGAAGACTGGTACGACGAGAACGACGAAGGGGACGACGAAACCGAATCTCTGAACGGCGAAATCGACTTCCTGCTGGAAACGGACCACCGGGACAAAGTCTCCAATTCAGTGGTATAATTCGGTTCGGGTTTCCGGTTCATACTCTTGCCCGATTTCCGGTTCGGCGAAGGCGAGGGGAAGCATCCAGTTGCAGGTGAGACCTGCGGAGGTTCGGCGAGACTGGACCGAGCGAACCGCCAGCGATCAGACCGGGTTCGCGAGGACGAGTGGAGGGAGCAGGAGGAGGATTCGGAAGGACGGCGGAAGTGGGATACAACGGGAGGAGGTTTCAACTTTTGTGGCGGCGGACTTGGGGACGGGCAGAGCCGGTGGTGAGCCCTGGGGACGCCGGGTTTGATCTCCCATTTGAAGGGAACAGCAGCCGGTCGCCGGTAAAATTCGTCGGCATCCATTGGCGGAGAGCTCAAAAGTAATGGACATGCAAAAATGGAAGTGGGTTAAGTAGGGAGAGGGAAGGCTTTAAAACTGGTATTAATCTCGGCGAAATCAGAGGCATGGGGATGGGTTTAAGTGGGTCCCACTCCCGTTTGACTTTGAATTGGGAACGATCATAAAAAATGACAAATCTGCCTAACATTAGAATTATGGGCATGCAACTTTATTGTTCAAATGTTGATAATTTGAATAATGCAGGATTGTCTATGCTTTTCAATGTCAAATAATGCCTACTCAAGTGAATTTGTAGTGCAGATCTAAAATTATGTAACTTTTTCTTGTACACAATTTTATTCAAAATGTTAATAATTATTATTTGTTTGTCCCCCAACAGGTCAAATAAAAACTTATTTTTCCTTTTGACTTTGGTGAGTTGAGAAGCCAAGTGTGCCAAATCATGAAGTGGGCATAATTTTTTCAGTCAAATGACCTGTAAATCTTATTTCTACCGCCTTCCTTCTTAAACATTTCTGCTTGTTTTCCCTTTGACCCATAAATCCAATCAATATGACATTTGTGTTCCTAGATTTAGGTGGCTATGATTTGATCGGACTTAACAGAATTTTGATCCCTTTAATCCCTCGGCCTTTTTTTCAAATCCTCCATGAATCTTCTTAAAAATTTCCCAAAACCTTCCCAATCATCAATTATCCACTCCATTATTTCTATATTTTTCTGAATTCTTTGCTCCTTTCACAGCCCACCACCACCCCCGCCTCCAACATCTGTCCACGATCCCCCAAATAAAACTCTACCACTTGACGCCATCTTTATGGTTTGTCAAGAAATTGAGAGGTTTACAAGTATTACTTTCACCATGTGTTCAAGTTCAAGATTCACTCCCTCCCTGGAACAAACAATAAAACAATCAGTAATCAAAATCACCAAGTGGTCAATGCCAATATAAACATCAAAGAACTTAGAGAGAATGAGTTGTCAACCAAATATAGTAGGATCAGGCGGTTGGCCCGTGTCTTCAAAGCCTCATCAATGGTGGGCTCAAACCCACCATCACGTGAAGTTTCATGGTAGCATCGACGTAGGTACCGCACCGGGTCAAGCCAGTCAAGTCGCACTCGCCATTCATGGTGTTGCTCTGTTTGGGTGGAATTTTTTATGCAATTGGGGACGAGGGATGGGAAATTGGCAATGTGGATCCGGGAGTTGGAAGAGGGAGGTGCGTTAGAAGAAGAAGTTCACCACAAAGGAGCAACTGTTATCACTTTTCTCCATATATTTAATTGAAAAGAAAGTTTGAAGTGTCTTGACACATCATTTTTACATCACACAAACAACATACCATCAACAAATGTATTCGATGTCTCAAAATACCAAATAGATCATGTGATGAATTGTATGCTATAATCATTGTTGGTCTGTATTAAATCAAACTAATTAAATAGAGCTTCAACAAGACCGAGACTGCCATTCCCATTCCATTCATAAATCAACTATATTGAATCCATGAAACTTCATTAGATTTGATTGTGGCACACTGATCATTCCTATCTCGATGCTCCTTCAATTTGGATAAGAGTTGCTGCAGTAGTACCCTACAAGTCAATAGACCTTGCAAATCAAAATGTTAAGCATAATACCTTGTGAACGGAACTAAAACCACCTTCTCTGAAGTTCTATGAAGAATCAAAATCCTAGCTGATAAAAGCTACCGCAGGCTAGAGGGTTTTGCTTTGATTCTAAACTTAAATATAAAAAGGAAATCAATGAGATAGAAAATCAAATAAGAAAGGCAAGTACCTTTTGGCAATGGGGTTCTCCATATTCCAGGTGCAGCTCGAGGGCACCCTAGGATTTAAATCAGAATAATGCAATGCAAACACAACGCACTTTCAAAATTCCAGGTCCAGTTTGAGATGATAGTAATCAATAATTAGAAAGATTTGGATTTGGTTGTGTGGCTAACTCCCATCAAGAAGCACCTTGATGTTGTGGAACGCAGTCAAGACATGGCTGCCGTATTGCTATCAGCTTCAGACAGCTGCCATTTGTCCACCTAAAGAAACAGAGCGAGGGAGGCAAGGGAGAATGAAGGCCAGGGCTCAACAAATACCTCTACCTCTAACAAAAAAGCTGTGAGATGATATCTAAGCTAAAAAAAGTGAATGCATTTTGGACAAATTGACATTTCTCTACCTGAAAATTTCTTTGATACCAGCGAACCAAGTTTTTTTTGGATAAAGAAACCTTTTATAGACACAATCAAAGAACAAAAACAGCCTAAGGGCAGGAGCTCCCCCTCCCGACAAACTACGAATAGCTCTCCAATCTTGCATAAGTTGATTAAGAGGTTATAATTACAAAAGAATTTTCTATGCCTATGATACCACCAAGAAGTATGTAACTGAACAGTATTACAAAAATTATCAAAAGAGGAAGACTTATCTTCAAAAATTCTACCTCTTTCCATCCAAATATTCCAAAGGAGGGCTCTAGCTGCACAATTCCAAAGGATTTTAGCCTTCCCTCTAAGATGCCAACCTTGCAAAGCTTCAAATACCAGATGACCCAAGTTTCGTGCTAGCATGGCATGTAAATTTCATTATTCTTTCTCAGAAGCAGGTCCTTGAATTCCCCAACTTTTCTTTGTTCGAACCTGATAGAATTACCAGGCTAAAGGTGCAATTTATGTATGCTTGTAGAAGGAAGGGGATGGGCAAAATGGGTAGTCGTGCAGTTCGGTTGTTAACAATTTAAACTACTTTAGCTGTTGTTATTGATAGTGAAGGGCAAATGTGAGATACGTAGGGTGGAGGCATAGGACATGGCAAAGGAAATCATAGTGTGTCCCCTAAATGGCAATTCCTAGTATCTAAGGCTAGTACTAGTGTACTACCCGATCATAGAAAGGATTCTAAAATAAACTTGAAGCCTCCTAAAAACAATAAGTCAGAAACATAAATTTACCGCTCCTAATAAGCAAATAACAATTGAAGAGGCATAGATACAACTAGATAAAATAGTTAGAAGCAAGAGCAGTGGTGGTTTTCAGGCACTAGGCCACCCAAAGAAGAGCACGTGAGCACACTTTACAACCAACAATCAAAGAGAACGTTGACACTTGGTTGAGATTGAAAAGAGATACAAAAGCTGCTATAATTAAAAAGAGAGACCGATAAGCACACTAGTCGTCTCAAGCATGTTGGTGGGGCATCAGAATAGAAATGCATAAATAAAGAAGTACCAACTTCCACGTGAATCACTTCTCTAGATCCGCATGCAATTTACTAACAAATTTAGACCATCTCATAAAATGGTAAAGTTCCCAGACCTCACCACACAGTGATACAAAATTTTCAGCATTCAGAAGGTGATACGATGATAACAAAAATTTCAGCATTCAGAGGGTGACACGAAGCACCAGCATCATAGACGTGGAGAGGAATATGAAAGCTTCTGTACGTTAACCTCTGTCACAATAAAAAAATCACATGAATGGAGAAGAGGCCCAAATAGAATAGATGAATGCAACCAAAAAAGCTGCAATTACATCGTACATAACAGGAATGAAACAAGAAACTTTTGAGGTCTATATTATTACACATTCTGAAGCTTGTGAATATTGACGACGGTCGTTTTTGGTAAGAATATTGAAGATTAAGTCGTGGTCTTTTTTTACATTTCCTTTATAAAGTAAATTACATCATATTGAGAACAATGCCTAACCAACCTAACTTCCTCACCATAAAAAACTACTTCATATTGCTTATTCAACTCTACCTCACGAGATATTTTGGCGTAACATTCATTTTCAGAAAACCAACATAACTTCCTCGCCATAATAAACTACTTCATAGTGTTACTGTCAAGCAAAGCTTAAGAGATATGCTCAAGACTTTTTTTCTTCAAATACAAGATTTTCGTACTAGTTGTTTTCATATACATTATCAGAACTAATCAAAGTTAAACAGGAAAAGAAACTAACTCACAAAGAAAATTAGCCATAGAAACTTGAGAAATAGGCATCCAAAGTTCTAACCTAAAGTATCCTATATCTAAAAATTATAATTTCCACATGTGATGATGACTAGACAACATTTTATGGTTGTCCAATATTTTTCCATTTCTTTCTTATGCATCAAACATTTATAAAATGGTCACACTTCACAACATATAATTTACTGTCAATACCTTTTACACACCCACAAAATGTACGAGGACCTAAATACATGTCAAATTGCCAATTCAAATGTCATATCTCTTTAGGTGAATTTTCTGCTTATTTTCTACCATACGTGCAATCCGAGGAAGATTTTTTGTAACATGCTTTCGTTGAGCCTACACAAAACAAAGACAGAAATGAGGATTAAAAAAATGGAAATAATAGAGATCTTTACATCATGGAAATGATAGACTAAATAATTTCCCATGAGATTGTAGTAGTGGAAAAGGGAACTTAATTATACAGGAAAATATTCACAATATAAGTGAGCAACCATCAGTACTTGGCCTAGTAATGAAAGAGGCTAGTTATAAACTTAATGCCCCAAAGTCAAGAATTCAAAATTTTGATAAGCATACTTTAAATATTACGAGTTTTTTTATTACTAAATGTTGTGGTTAGGCATTAGTTATATCGCATTAACCAGAGCGTGAATGAACTAGAAAAACTACCCACAATTTATAATTTTAAACGAATAACCCACTCGAATAATTCAAAATAACAATGGCTCACAAAGGTGTAATTTAACAGAGGAGAAAGTCAAAGACGTTATCAAAGGAGATAAAGTATAAAATTATCTTTGTGGAGAAGACTTACATTGGTTATAATCAGATTTTAATTAGCAAAATTGGCAGCTGGGTGTAGAAGAGAAGAAAGTCAACCAGAAACCCTGTTTTCATCCAACGTTTCCTCACTGGGAAAAGTCCAGCTATTGTCTTCATTTGTTACAAGCATTCGCATTCTTTCCTCGACATAACTAGCTTTACTTTCTTTACTTCCCTATACCTATTTTCTATTCCATGTCTTATTCTTTTATGCACTTCATCATCTAATAAACTTGTTTCACCTGCTGAGTTCAGCAGATTACACACAAGTTGATAGGTATATTCTCTAGGCACAGAGCCTCCCTCAAGCGACTCGAGGAGGAAATCATGGGCCTCCATTACCTTTCCAGCTTCACATAGAGCATGGATAATAGGAGTATAAGAACTTGAAGTGGCACTCCCATGCTTCATCTTTTGCATCCTTCTCAACATCTCGATTGCTTTGTCGATCTCATTCACAACACTATAGTATCTGATGAAAGAATTATAAGTAACTCGGTTGGGAGTACATCCCCTCCTGCTCATATCCTCAAACAATTCCAAGGCCCGCTCAATTCGGTAAGTTTTGCAACATCCATCAATTAAAGAATTGTAGGTCACAACATCTGGAGTAAAGCCCTTAAATAACATGATTCGGAACAAGTGGTTAGCCTCCCACAACCTCCTTCGAATGGCCTTTCTGCACCCTGTTTGCAAGCTGTATTTACAGTAAGAACTGATTAGAATTGTGTATGTGAAAATGTCTGGCGGGCATCTAAATCCAGGCAACTCCATCTGCTCCAACAAAAACCTGGCCTTCTTGAAATTACCAACCCTACATAGAGCATTGATAACGGTATTATAAGCATAAACATCAGGCTTGCAGTGAAACTGCTTCATCCTATAGAATGCAGTTAGTGCTTCGTTTACCAATCCTTGCTCTCCCAGAACTTTTATCAAACATGTGATGGTGGCAGTAGTAACAAGTCCACCATTCCCTCTCTTGGACATTTCCTTCAAAAAATCCCAAAGACCCGGCAGTCTGTTCCCTCGAGCCAATACGCAAGCCATCTCTCTGCAGGTCATCTCATTGTGTATAAATCCAAAATGGATTTCAACCCAATAAAAAAACTCCAACGCTTTATTCAATCCAAGCTCGACCTTGTAAGGATCCCTGTGAGCAGCAGGGCCGAGAACAAGCACATTGTTCCGAAACTTGTATGCCTCCTCTTTCAGTTTCCTCTGCTTAAGAGGAGTACGATGCCGGAAACCCTTTTGGCAGCCAATGGATCGGATTGACTGAAAAAAGAAACGAGGTACGGATCTTAAAACATCGGAAACAGACTCAGAATTCCATAACTGATTGGTAGAGAAAGTAGAGGTTGAACGATCAATGTGGGTGTCGAAAGGTCGGTTTTGAAGCATCGCCACGAAGACTTGGTCTATAAGACGGGAGTTACTGAATCGAATCATCTTTAGTTGGGCCATAATTTCGGACAGATTAATTCTAGAATTAGAAAACGAAAATAATCTCTGTTACAATAATCAATATCAGGTCGTGGGGTCAGAGCTCACTGTGACAAAACAGAAGGATAAGCACGAATATGACCGTCGGCAGTCGAAAGTTGATACAATTTCATTTTAGATGGAAGAAAAAGCTAGCAGCACCCTGTACAACCAACAATCAAAGAGAGGAACGTTGGGTTAAGAAGATAAATTCGAAATTACTATAATTAAACAGAGAAATAAATAACCACGCTAGCAGTCTCGAGGGTTAGGTGAGGACCCGAACCACTCCAAGCGCTACATCTTTCACTTGCTTCGCTCGATCCTCATTCAAAAAACACATTTGAGAAAGAAACTGAAATGAAATAAAGTAGGGAAATGAAATGTACTATAATTCTCCACCCATGGTTGAGAGTCCTGCAACAATGGCTCTATTTCGTTCCTCCTCCACCGCCACTGATCGCACACGCAGAGTCTGGAAATCTTCCGGTAGTGATTCAAAGCAAGAGAACGGATATGCAACGCAATAGTGCGAGATTAGGCGAGAAACGAGAAATTTGGAGGCGTAACGACAATGAATTGCTCCGTGGATACGAAAAGAGAATGTTATTGAGGATTTGGGTACCCGCCGGCCGCCATGGGAGTGGAACTGAGGAAGTGCCAAACATATTCGTCTGCTGCTGCCGTGAGAATTACCGCGAAAAAACGGTCAAAAGCCTGCCCTAACATTGTAAATCCACGTCTTGTCATTCCTTCCTTTGGCATATATATTTCTTAATCGATAATTACAATTAAATCCGTATACTATTTTTAATTAATTTCGTGTAAATATTTTTTAAGATACAATTATTTTTTCTTTTAAGAGTACAAAAGTAAACTTGTATCCTTGTTTTACTTCAGTACAACTACTAAATGACAAGTTCTCAAAATTATAAATTTTTAAATATTATTTTTAATCACATAAACATACTTTTGTAATTTCAAATTATATGATACAGAATTTGAGAATTAAAATTTAAAATTATTAAATTTAAATTTTTTTTTTAACTAATTAACAGTTCAATAATATTTTATTAACCTTAATATGACTAAGTTTTTGTTTTTGTTTTTGATAACATATGACTAACTTAAGTTTATTGCAAGAAAGCAGTTAATTACATTTTTCAAAGTTGCATAAGCAACATTTTATAGTTTAACAAATAATACTTAGCTTTTTGATTAATTAAATAATAGTGCTCTAATTTCGTCGATATCATGAAAAACGACACATCATTTTTTAAATAGCCAAGATTAAGCTGAAAGGAGAAGTTTGGTAAGTGACAAATGGACCTGATTAGTGGAATTGAACTCCTTAAGCCATGAACCGCGTGATCAAGGTTTTAGCCACCCAAAACTTTAGAAAATCAATACTGCAAACAGAACAATAAGATTCAGCAATTACTTGGAACTTTTCCATGAATGTTTTGGCAATCTGGTGTCAAAATAAAACAGCAATTAATATGAAGTTAAAAGTAAAAAGCCTGGTGACACAAATTCCCAAGAAACCAATTCAAAGGTTGTGAAGTGTGGCATTAGGATTATACAACACCCTCTTCTCTGAAGTTCAGAGCATTACGAACAATCAACAATCCACTGAAGCTCAAGGCATAAGAACTGAAAACAAAGAGAATGTGTAGATTTGCTCGCATTGTGTCACAATCAACAACATTTACCCCGTTCTTCGTCGTCTTCACAGATTTAGCCAAGCAGGACACAAATAGCCTACAAGTAGAGAGAAAATTTAAGAGTTAAGACGACCAAGGGTCATTGAAAACGAAGGTCTATAGGGATAAATTAATTTTTATCCCTATAACAATTGGGAGAGTCATGTAAATGCTTTCTTGTAGGATATTTTGTTATAAAAATTTTGTGAAACTTGAACAAAACTCATACTAATAATTCACTAAAAAATAAATGGGTAACAAAAGATAACCAATCTACTACTTAAGTTCACATAAATAGCACAATTGAAGCGGTTAACACTGGTAAACCTATAAATTTTCTTCCAACTTCAGAATGAGCTGGTTGATGTCTGCAACACAAAAATTTCAATAGTGTTACTTATGGTGTGAATAAAAGGTGGTCCCCAACAGTAACTTTGAAAAGCATTTTGTCATCATAAAAAAAGGAGAAAACATCATGGAAAATCAATTGGCTAGTAGCTTGGAAATTTGGAAAATCGAATGAATTATTTGAAAGATTGTGGCTACCAAATACACATATATCCTTTTCCAGAATAATCTTCCTTACCATAACAAAGACATTTCTTACCACAAAAGTTAAAGCAAGGTATTAACAAACTTGAATACCATCCTAAAGTTTCACCGACAAGAATTACAAATTCAGTCCTATCCCAAAACACGGAGATCAAAACCCAATTGATTAGAGGAAGAAATACTATCAGACTAAAAAGAGTGTTATCCTTTTAACATTACCAACTAGATACTACTACATGGATCATATTAATAATTGATTGACATAAAGACATATTTCTGGGGTATAATAGAACTCATTTCATACAATTGATTGCCAGAAGAAAAGATAAATATGTAGCAAAATTACCAAATAGATCACATATCCTATTACTACACAACAATGCTCCAAAAAAAAAAAATTGCTTTGTTAACATTACCATTTGATTAATTGATCAAAAGACATGTTATTCCAGGGCATAATAGAACTTGTTTCATGCCGTTGATTGGCAGAAGAAAAGATAAATACGATAGCAAAATTACCAATCGATCATATGATTACTATATTGCATTCCTATGTTTTTCCATATTTTTGACTTGGAAAGTAGTCTATTTTCACTAAAATATCTTTTTGCACCCTTATGTTAAGAGGAGACTTCGTTTACCATGGGATAGGATTAAATCAAGGAGACAACCAAGGTTTTGAAACATCAAGTTTCGAACTAAGGGATTGAACAACAGACAAAGGATGGTAACAAGAGTAATAGAACCAACTCCAGTGTGATAGTATGTAAGTCTCGGAACAACTATGCTCCAGCCTGCGACTTATATTTAAAGGAAATTGTATTTAAAAATCATTATGTCCTAACTTGATACCAAAATGGGCATCTCGAGAGAATTCGAACCTGAAACTAGTGATGCGAATAAAAAAATAGGTTGAACGATCACGATCAATGTGGTGTTCAGTTTTGAAGCATCCTCACCAAGATCTGGTCTACGAGACAAAAGATACTGAAACAAAAAAGTCTATGGTTGGGCCATAATTTCAGATACATTAATTGTAGAGTAGGAAGAGGAAAATTATCTCAGTTACAAAAATCAATACCTGGTTGTTGGGTCGGAGCGCACCGTGACAAGGCAAGAATCACAATCACAGATATGATCGTCGGAAGTTGATATACTTCCATCTTTGACAAAATTGCTAGTAGCACCCTGTATAATGAACAATCGAAGGAAGAACAACGCTGGACTGAGAATATAAATTCAAAAACTACTATACTTAAAGAGAGAAATCGATAACTAAACTGGCAGTCTCTGGGATGAGAACCTTAACCACTACAAGCATCGATTGTGATTCTAAATGCACAAAGAGAGTACGAAACACATCTTTTTCTGAAAAATAAGTGAATCGAAAGAAAGTGAGAGAAACGGAACGTACTACTTCTCTACTCATGGTTGATATGAGAGTTCTGCAACAATGCCGCCATTGATCGGACAATACACAGGGTTCGGAAATTTCGCGGTTGTGATTCGAGACGCGATAACTGATTGAAAATTGCGATATTGGGCGAGAAACAAGGAATTTGGAGACGGAAGGGCGTGGAATTACTCCATGGATACTAGAAGAGAAGGCTGTAAGGTATTTCGTTAGGGTTCGCGCTATGACAGTGGAACCGAGGGAGTGGAAGACGAACGATAATATTCCGCGAAATAATGGATGGGGAAAACAGTCAAAATATGTGCCCTAATTTTTACCGTGGCAAATAATGGATGAATTTCTTTCACCCTGATAGGATGTGATCGATTAAGTGAGAAGTCACTTATTTATATAGATAATTTTCCGCGTGTAAACCGTGTTTAATTTTTTATTTTTTAAACTTCAGCGTCTATGACACGCGATATAACTTTTTTATTTTTTTCCGGTGAATGTAATAGAGCATCCTGCGTCAGCTGAATTTTTTTTCCTTCTTCCGAAAATGAAAATTTAATTTAGTTATTTTGCCAAAATACCAATATCAATTTACTACAATAATTGACAACGAGAGTAACTATTTTTCGAATTAATGATTTTAATGTATTAGAGAGCAAGTAAAAAAAAAGATAATGGTCCATTAAAAAAAAGTTGTTCATTCGTTTAACTTTTTCTTTTTTGGAGCAAATAGGATAATTAACCGGAATTGTTTCTTAAAAAACTTAGAGGTGGTTAGTAAGAGATTTTTTCTACCTAATAGTTCGTAGCTAAGTATTTTTATTCCTGCAATTTTCACTTTAGACAATTTCATCCTATAATTAATAGCATCATCATCCCATAAAAAAAAACATCATCACTAATAATTTTTTGATTATTGTTGTTATTAAGTTTGTAATCATTAATATTTGTTAAACGTAATAAAAAAAAATGTTAAACAGAAATCCCAAATGAGTAAAAGTGAAAAGAAAAAAGAATAAGAATTAAAAGCATACTTACGGACATGTTAAGTAACCGAAAACTTTACCGCGTGGGCGAAGTAGAAAGAGAAACAGAAAAGTTTACCGTTGGACCTATCAAAATAATTAATTGGATTAATTTACGGTTGGACTTGGTCAGACCTATCAAAACAATTAAATTGGATTAATTTACCGTTGGACTGAGTCGGACCTATCAAAATAATTAAATTGGATTAATTTTATTTTATTTAATATCTCTTCGCGCTGTCGTTACTGGTAACTATTATGATCCAATCCTTCCCGCCCTCCGCCTTCCCGCCCTCTGCCTTCCCGCGCTCTGCTCTCCCCACTTTCCGTTACTGTTATTTTCTTCCATCTGCTATGGCGATTTCATTCGATTCGCGATCGATTTTTTGGAATCAACCAAAAAATGATCTTCCCCTAATCCGTCTCAATGGTTAGAACAAGTTCATTTGGCAATCGTCATTCAAAACCATCAGCGAATCAACAAACCAAAAAATCTCTTTGCTACTGGTTTTTAGGGTTTCTGCACTATGCTTTTTCCGCATTATTCAATGGCTTTGTTTTCTCTGATTCTCGGTTCTCTTCTCCGTTTCATCCTCCGAATTCCAGTATTCTCTCTAGGATCTTTAGGGTTTCTGACGATATAAAGTCGTTATACAATGAGGTCCGACCGATATTCCGACGCCACTGTGGTTCTTCTGCCTTGCAACATGAGGTTCATCACAGGTAAAATGTATTTCATTTTTCGTTTTTAGATTCTTTGGTTTTTATTGGTTCACATTCCGAAGGTACCGATGAATGTTTTAGTATAATTCTTCCCTGCCAAGAATACTAACAATGCGGCTTTTTTGCTGGAAATCGCAAAATTACTTGACCAAGACCGGAAAATGTGTGTTTGCTTATAGTAATCTCTGTTCTCCTTTTTCGTATCTTTGAATTTGTATTGAAGTATCTATAATTTGTTGGTTTCTATGATATGGTTTGTTTTAGTACAATTGTTGTACCACATGCATGGTTTCTTATCGTATGGTTTCCATCCAGCATCACATGCATGCACGGTTCATTTATGTGGCTGTAGTTTGTAGTTTCTCTGTCTAATTTGTTCGGCCATGTCCTAATATTCCATTTAGTTTATGAAGGTTTTGATTAAAATATAAGATTTTTAATAAATCTCATAGTTAAGGAGTTGCAAGACTGTAACCTAGAGTTCTTTTGTCTCTTTTTATAGTAAATTAGAGAGGAAAATTAAATAATTTATTGATTATTATTATTGTTCCTACTAATTACATTTTTT